AATTGTCACACATTTAAAGAGTTATAATAGCAGTTACATGTACACTAGAAGTAACTGTGTTTTACAGAGTAATCTCTACCTGATAACTCTTAGCATTACATTCACACAGATCATGTTTGTTGTTCTCTAGCCTTCATTGTGTTATTTTTATCACGTAAATGAAAAAATAAAGTAAAAAAGTTATCTAGTCCATTGCTTTTCAGGTTTGTTTATATATCAGTGGATTTGAAATAGTTGTGTTTCTAATTGACAACAATGTTCATTGAACTGAGGAATATCGTTAAATGTCAGCATCAGACAGTGTTTGGCTGTTGGCGGCTCAGAGCGACATATAAGGTGTCCTTTTTCCCACCTGAGCACCTGCCCCTACAAATGTCTGTGCACACCGCTGCTGTCACCCCATCCAAAAAAATCATCAATTTATGAGAAGGAATATATTGTATTCTTACCCTCTGCCGTATTATTCTGTAATACAGAGGAGATAAAAATTGCACATATTACCGTATATACTTTACTGCATTATTTGCATCATAAAATGACGGGAATCATTTGGGGGAGGAGAACTCTCTTAATCTAGGACTGATTAATCTGGGACTACCACTGCTGAAAGGGCCTCCTTTCCTACATTTTCAGGAAAGGTGGGCCCTTCAGCAGAGCTTTTTTTGAGCTTACAGATTCTCCTTATCTCTTACGTTCCCAGACAGAGCCACTTGTGGAGCTAGTTCATTGCTTCTATACCTTTTCTATGTCTGCTTGTGTCTCCTTGAATCTTAATTCAGCTTCAGCAGAAGGCCGCTCATGCTGAGCCTGGTTCTTTTGGAGGTCTCCTCCTGTCGAAAAAGATTTTTCCTCTCCACTCTCGCTGCATGCATGCTCTTTGTGCGGGATTGTTGTTGAGTTAATAAGTTGATGTAATCAGCTGATCTGATTGATTTTTTTCTCTGTAAATTGCCTTGAGCTGACCTGATCCATGGATGCTTTAACTGGGTCTGGGGATGTAAAATCACTGGGAAGTAAGGAGGTTTAGCTTGTATGAAAGGTGCATAGAAACTGGCTAGAAATAGCCCAGCTCGCCTCCACACATCTGATCCTTGAGAGAGGCTGGACACTGTTTTACTCTGGGATTGGGTCTGCTTGACTCCTCTCACACACAAAATGATCCAGAAATACGTCAAAATTTCTTAAATTAATTGTATTTACCCTTAATTTGAGCAAGTAAATTAGATGATTTGCCAATGTAATGTGCATTTTTACTCTTAATCTAAGATATTTAGATAAAATGCACTTTAAATTAGATAATTTTCTTATTTTAGATGTAATTTGTGTTGTTCCATTGGCAAAATGTCTCCTCTTAAATTAAATAAAAATGAGCTTATTTAAAAGAAATAAGGACTTGGATTTTTTGTTTTTTTTTCCAGTGCATTCAGCCATCTCATGTTGGAGTTTATCCTGGCTGGGAACATGGAGTCTAAATGGACGATGGTCTCTGCCTCTATTAACCTTTCCTACTTTCTTTTCCTTCTTCCAGATATCATCTCTCCTGCTGTTTGATTTTATAAAACCATCACCTTTTCTTCGCCTATCTCACTTTTTCCATTCTCTGTTCAATTTTTGATTGATGAGTCATCTTATTTCCTAATATGTGGTGTAAAGTTCTTCATTTAGTAAGGTTCATTGATTGCAACACTTTCAATTACACAGCACCAGGGATGGAAAGTAAGTGTTTTCATGAAGGACCATTACCATGTCATGTTCAAATACTAAACAATGATTAAAAACAAATCTAAATACTAGTAATATCTACTGCATTACATTTTAATTTATGTTGACTAAAGCTGAAAACAGTGGAATGAGGCTGATTGACACCTCAGGAATTTAAAATGAACTAACAGATTCTGCAGAGTGGGAGACTTGTAGGAACCACTAGTAAACCTGCAGATTGAGAGCGAAGTGCTCTGTTAGGAACATAAGGAACAATCAGATCTCTGATATCATATGGAGCTTGGCCATTTAAGGCTTTATATGTGAGAAGGAGGATTTTAAATTCTATTCTGGATCTAACAGGAAGCCAATGGAGAGAAGCCAGGATAGGAGAGATGTGATCTCTCTTTTTAATTTTCATCAGAACTCTGGCTGCAGCATTTTAGATCAGCTGAAGGCTTTTAACTACAGTTTGAGGACTTTCAGATAGTAAAGATTTACAATAGTCCAGCTTTGAAATAACATTGACTAGATTCTCAGCATCAGCCATGGATAGGAAATTTCAAATTTTTTGCAATATTCTAGATATGAAAAAAGGAAATTCTAGAAACCTCTTTCATTAAAAAAACCTTCTAGAAACTCTAGTTTTAAAAACCATCCTATGCACAGAGAATAACTTAGATACTGTTTTTTTGCAAACTGATACGGTACAGACTGAACTGAAACGTGAGTCCTGAACTGAGTCCTGCACAAATAGCTGCATATGTTTAAAGCTTGCATTTTCATAGTACTAAAATTGCAAATAGAGTTAACATGGAAATAAAACCTAATCAAGATGTGAATTCAAAAAACAATAAAGGAGGAATGGTTGGGGAATGTCTTACATTCAGAACCTAATCAATCAACTGCAATGATTTCCAGCCTTCTGTCTTCATCCCAACGTCTGTCGGTGCTTTTCTATAAACCAACTGGACTGATTCTCGCCTCGATTTTCATTTTCTTCTGTTTTGTTTGGGTAAATCTTTTTTTTTTTTTTTGATGTAGCTAATATCTATAAAGGTGACAAGCCTGTGAAAGTGAGGATTAAAGACACAGACATTTGTGTTCAAATGTAGTGAGTAAAAGTAACAAAGTCCTTTAGAAAAATAAATACTCTAGTACAGCACAGATATAGAAAAAGGTACTTACCTGTAAGTACAGAAACTAATTATTTATTTTTAGTTACTTGACACCTTTGCCTAATAGTAAATGAATCATCCTTTAATAATAACCCCCTTGTTAGAAAGAGATATATAAATAAAAGGTTTATTTCTCTTCACAGTTCAATAGTTTCATCTATCATAGCGACCAATCTGATTTTTGGTAACAAACTTACATCACCTAATGTTAAAGTATTATTAATACGAAACCTTTATTTAAACATGCAAAATGTAGACAAACCAAGGCTGTTAGTAGTCCAAGCATGTGGCTGATAAGCTGGAAAATGAAAATCCTCAAAGTGGTAAACAGCATGTCTGGACCACAGTGTAATTAAAAGGTGTATAAACAAATGGAAATTAATGAAAGAGATTATAATGACTGCTGTGAGTCAAATACTAGATTTGGTTTTGTGTTCAGCTTCATGGAGCAAAGAATAATTATTTGCTCATGTATGCAAAGACACTAACTCAAGTTATTGACACAATAATGAAAATATAATATTTGTAGGGACATAAAAGTGGAGAATACAGACTTTGGTTCATGTTGAGTCTTTAAAAAAAATAAAAATAAAACACAAAAATCAGTGACATCGACCTGAATGTTCACAGAGTTCCTGTGAAACAAAGACCGGCTGCCGCCCTGTCTGGGATCAAGGTCATGTTAGATGGTAATAACAGATTGGATGCCATGGTAACCAGCATCACCGTTCCCTCTTCACATCCCGTTGTCACGGCAACGGGAGCTCCCGCGGGAGTTAGAGGTGTTTGTGACGTAGCTGTGAATGCTGCTCTGTGTGGAAGCAGGCTGTGATGCGCTGCTCGCACCACACCCGGTCGGGGCAGAGCACGATGTTCCAGAATTGGGAAACTAAAAATTGCCTTAGAAAATTGAAAACTCATCTATTCCTCTGGGAAAATGTATTTTCCCCAAGGTACCAATATGCTTTATTTAAGAAAAAGTTGTTTATTTGGGTGAAGAAATGCATGTAAAACCTTTAAAATACTGTTAGAAGCACAACATCCATATTTTCTAAATAAAGACAAACTGTATGGTCCTACTATTTTCCTTTTGATTACAAATAAACGCATATATTTAATCATCCATGCTGTCTAAAAAAAGACATAGTGGACAAAATATCTGGGTCAAACATATTTTCCATATTTTGCTTTTATCAAAAAATTTTTCTGCATTACATTAATATTACATGTACTAATATCTATATTAAATGGATTTTTAAGTTATTATTAAAGAACATATTCATCTATAATTTCACTGAAAACTCCTTGATGACATGCAGACACATAATTTTCTCTTTACCCCATATAACACAAAATAAGGGTCTTAAAAGAGCATGAATTCTGTACATATCAGCTATAATGTTAGTATTTAGATGTGCATAATTAACAACAGCGTTTTAGTTATCAAGTAACTATTAATATATGAAAAATTAAAATCTTTACTAAGTTTAAACATTCCTCTTGTTAGTATTACTGCTGCCATCGTCTGTATTAGAGGGAAATAAATGGTAGTGGTGGTCACGGAGGTGGCCAATGACTGGCTAAGGGTGGCCATGGCTACCCCTGGCCCCCCATCTAGCTCCGCCCCTGGTCTACAGACTAATCAACTTCATCTATCTCCACTCAACCACCAGTTTCAGGCCTGGGGGGGGAACAGCCATGTTATTTACTCCCGTTCATGCATATCTATCAAATTCAGCGCTATGTTTCCTGCCGGGGTCTGAGCGCCAACGACAAAGTAATTGTATCAATAAATTTCTCCTAATTGTCTTTTCTCTTCATGTGAGTTTTTCAGATTGAAATTAGAGCTAAAAAATAAGTGAGAAGTTGTTTCTGATTCTTTTTTTTAATCATATGACTCACAGGATGCATGTTATCTAGAATGTATTTTTGCTTTATTAGAGATATAGTATTTGTGGGGTGATAGCACAGCATGTGTTTAATTATAATCTGCATTAACATTTGGTTTGGATGCTTGTTTGTTTTCTTGCTGTTGTGACGTCACTCAGCAGGTAGGGAACAGCGCCCCCAGCGGCGGCTCCGGGCGCTGTGTCGCAGCACTCTGCAGGTTGCTGCTGCAGCTGATGGAGTAGGCGGGTCCGAGCCGCCTGTTTGTCTGCGCCACCAGCAGCATCAGCTGCGCTTTGTGCCGCGATAATCCGCTCTGATGTCACGCTGCAGAGGGAGGGGGCTGAGCTTTCCGCTTTAATCCGAGGAGGGGGTCAAACCGAGCCGATCCGGGCGAGGACAGGACCCGGTGGAGGGCGGGGGGGGAGACGATGTGGACCGGAGCCGGGCCTCTCCTCCGCTAACATGAAGGTAAATCAGCCGCTGTCATCACCGATAGCAGATTATTTGTCATGTTTGCAGATTATGGCGGACTGTGCACCTGCGGAAAAACCCAGAGGATTTAAGTTTAGAGAGGTGACAGCGCGAGCATCTATCGTTGTTTTCCTTTTCAAAATAAATGTCAGATATTTATAAGATGAGGCAGCCAGGAGCGGGTGGACTTATGCTATAACTGAGAGGACAGACCGACTGACAGGCCCAGACACACTGTTTGTCACAGAAAGCTTATAAAAAGAGGAACCTTTGGGCCTTTAGAAACCGAATGTGGCCAAAGGAGGGGTTTTCAAAATAAAAGCCTCCTTGCTCGTCTGATTTTGCTCATGCATTCATCACCCTGAGTGACCGTGACGCCTAGAAAGGTGAGAAGTGATGCACCCCAACAGGGACCATATGCTGGATGGGAGCCTGTGTTTGTCACCACTGGGTGTGACAGAGGAGAGATGATGCCAGGAGGTTTAGATCAGGATACTCATCCCTCTACATCAGGGGTCTTCAGTGTTTTTTTCCAGGCCCAGGGCCCCCAAACTGATGGAGCAGGGACCCCCTGATCAATGGCGTAAATAAATCGGTAAGCAGAGACTGCAGTTGCTTAGGGGCCCCCCGACGTCTTAGGGGCCCCATCACTGACTCCTGGTTGCCCCCCCCCTACGCAATTGTGGTCTAGGACGTCTCTTTGAAGATGAAATTATGCCAAAAATTCCTGATGGGATGGGGTGTTGTACTTCATATGGGGCCCACCCAGATAATGTCGCTTACGTGCCTGTTATTGTGTCGTTACGCAATTGCCCCTGATTATAAATATTGTATGAAATTCTGTTTTATCAAACTGGTCCTATAGTTGCACTATTACAGATGGAGTAATGTAACGAAAGTAATTTTGCTCTGGGAATATTAAAGTATTTCTGATTCATCGTTGATGGGACAGGTGTTGTGAATGAAATGGTGCCCAGTGGTCTCCATTTATCTTTTTACTACAGTGTGTTGAACTCATGTTAATGTGTATTTAAAGACATTTCAATTAGTGGTCTAATATAAAAAAATGTCTAATGATACAAAACCTTCGCGACCCCCATGCAGTACCTCCATGGATCCCCTAGGGGTCGCGGACCCCCTGTTGAAGACCTCCGCTCTACATCATCAAAATGTTGATTCATGGTGAGAAGATTTACCCCAAATAAAACTAAAGTAGCTAGATCTGTTTAACTGAGAAAAAACACTGAAAACTTCTTTCCGGTCTTAAAGTCTTTTACCGCCTCTTACATATCCACAGCATGATGCTGCCATCATCTTGTTTTGCAATAGAGAAGGTGTTCATTGTTCCCAATATATTCAGATTTTTCTTACAAAAGGGATAGGAGATGTACGACGGAGTATTAGGGCCAGGCTAGAGATTTTTTTTTGTTCTATTTCGAGAATAAAGTCGTAAAATTATGAGAATAAAGTAGTAAAATTACAAAAAATAATGTCGCAACGAGAATAGTCGTAAAATTATGAGAATAAAGTCGTAACATTATGAGAATAAAGTTGTAATATTAGGAGAATAAAGTCGTAATATTATGAGAATAAAGTCGTATTATTATGAGAATAAAGTCGTAAAATTACGAGAATAAAGTTGCAACAAGAATAGTCGGTAAATTACGAGAATAAAGTCGTAACATTATGAGAAAAAGTTGTAATATTACGAGAATAAAGTCGTAATATTATGAGAATAAAGTCGAAAATTACGAGAATAAAGTCGTAACATTATGAGAATAAAGTTGTAATATTACGAGAATAAAGTTGCAACGAGAATAGTCAAAAAATTACGAGAATAAAGTCGTAATATTATGAGAATAAAGTTGTAAAATTACGAGAATAAAGTTGCAACGAGAATAGTCATAAAATTAGGAGAATAAAAGTAATAAAATTATGAGAATAAAGTCATAAAATTAGGAGAATACAGTCGTAACATTATGAGAATAAAGTCGAAAAATTACGAGAATAAAGTCGCAACAAGAATAGTCATAAAATTACGAGAATAAAGTCATAAAATTAGGAGAATAAAGTCATAAAATTAGGAGAATAAAGTCATAATATTAAGAGAATAAAGTCATAAAATTACAAGAAACAAGTTGTATTTTATGAAAACTTACAAAACGCACTTTCTTCTCTAAAATGAGGATGTGAAGTTATACTGAAGTTGTACTGTATATAATATTACAACTTTATTCTCGCATTAAAACTTTTTTTTTTTTTTCATGTTACGACTTTATTCTCAAAATAAAAAAAAAAGTAAAAAATCTCTAGCCTGGCCCTAATCTTGTAGATTAGGATGGTCTAAGTTGCAGTGTTATTATACTTAATAAAAAACAGTCAGTGGTGGATTTACCATTAGGCAAAGCTAGGCAGTTCCTGGGGGTCCCATAAAACTCCTTTTACATGTATGGTTAATGCAGCTATTACTTATTTGTGCACATTATTATGTTTTTGTTAAAAATTATCTCACCAAAATACTCTGTTTGTGACAACATCTAAAAGCAGCGAACTCTGCTCTCCAGAGCAAGTAGATTGGTAACCCCGCCTCCTGCTCTCCTCCATCTTGTCTGCTGTCATGATTCATGCAGCTATTATTTCATCCAAATGAAAAATGGAGAACAGAGAAGCAGATCATGGCTTATCTACAGTGAAAAGAAGGACTGGGTTATTTACTTTTGCCTTTTTGGAAACACAGGAAGGAGCAATCAGCTAAGTAGTGATTGGAAAAATCCTTTGTTACTTTTGAGACTGTCAGCTGAGCACATTGTCAATATGAGAAGAATAAGGGACAAAAGAAAACAGAGAGGAAAACAACAAAAAGAGGGATAATAAGATAAGGACAAAAGGTAGTTGGTCTGTTTTATGTGTTGTCTTCTCAATTCAGAGGGCCCCATGCCTGCCTTTTGGCTAGGGCCCCAAATTTCCTAAATCCACCCCTGATAGTAATTGAGACACTCAACAGTATAGATTCCCCCATCCCTGTTTTTATTATTTTATTATTATTTCTTTTTAATAAAATGCTAATTTTCCTGGTATTGATACTAAATACAAGTGTTTTTTTTTTTGCTAAAGTTAATTTTAGATAATTTGCACATTGAACGAATAATATTTCAAACAACCTAAAAATATATTCTCAAATTTTGTTATAGTTGGGTAATTTGTTATAAATTTATTTGTACACTTATTTAACTAAGAAAACAGCTTCAGTGTTGAGATTGAAAAAGGTGAGTTTTTAATATTAATTAAGATGTCTATATGCCTTTAGTTAGAAATTTTCTACCCTCAAGGTATTGAAATTGATATCAAGTATCAAATATAATAACAAATAACATAATAATGTTAGAAATTGTGCCTATGCACGGTTGGGACAAAGCTTAATTCGGAGGTGTTTTTTTATATTTCGTTGTGGAAAGAAAAACATATCGCGATAAATATCGCATATCGTGTTTGCCATTACATTTAAGAATATCGATCTATTATTTTTGTTCCACAAGGCTAATTTTTCCCTAACTTCACAAATGAAATACAACAATTTTTTTGGTAAAATAAAAAAATGTGAATAGTTCTGTATGCAAATGTGGTTAAAAATAACCCACATGATTTAAGAACTGAGTGAAACGATGGAACTAGTCAGACTTTCAATAATAATGCAAATAATGGATCTACTTACCTTTTTCTAATAAAGAAAACTTTAAGAAGAATTATGTACATTGATGTATTTCTGTCAGATAGAATTAAATAATAATTTATTTATTTTTATTGGATAATTTAGAATAAGCTTGAGAATTTATTTCCTGTTGCTTTTCAATTTACTTCCTCTTTCAGACAATCTGCAGCACATTTTCTTATTGCTGTGTTATAGTTCTTTAAAAAACAAAGACAAAATGAACAGAAAAGTCTCTAAGGAAACCAGAAATAGTTTCCATCCAGTTAAACCCTCATCCATCCACCTTTAACATTATTCCTGTGAGTAACTGACCATAATCATGGTTTAACTAAACACTAATCTAAACCAGAGGACTGAAGGAATGTGTCCTTTAGGAATGCACTTAATGGCTGAAAGTGGGATCTTTGAGTTTTGTAGTATCCAATAAATGGGAAATGAATAATTTTTCTTAATATTGGACTGTGACAGCGGACATTAATCATCTACTTTAGGAGTACAGGTTACTTTACGCTTCAGTGAGACAGATCATCTATGCTGAAACTTTCAAACCAAGGCTGATGTTGGAGTTTACATTTGAAAAAAAATAATTAAATGTTACTAGAGCAGTATCCACATTATAAAGTTAAACCAAAAAGACAATAATCCACTTGATTATAATAAAATAAGGCTATATTATTTAAGAGTTTATTATTGTAGTTTTAAATCTTTTAAATTTTTTTCCTTTTTGAGCCTAAATTGAACTCTTGCTACAGGTGCAGTGAGCTGACATAAACAGATGTGGCGCCATCTACTGGCAGTACAGCCAAAATGGCCTTTGATGCAGCAACTGAATAAGTCCCAGCTGTGCTGACTGTGCTGTAATGCCTCACGGAAACCCAACGGCGTTGAGGATAGGGCTTAAAAGCAATGCTAACACCAGTAGCTCTGTTAGCAGGGACATGAACTCACATGTTTATCAACTTGGCAGCGACATCGGAACGCTTCCTAAGCTTTAGCTGCAGCTTTGATTAACTCCAATGGTCAAACTGTTTTCTCAGCATAATTCGAGTTTTTTTTTTTTATTTGAAAAAGCTGAACTTTTCTATGAAACGGCGGCGTAGCAGTCAATCAGGGAAAGATGCAGTTGATGTAGGTTGAGGAAGTGCAACCGAGCAAATAGAGGAATATAGAGAAAATCAAAAGGTAGACATAACGAACTATATGTAGAGATGATTTGGTGGCTTTAAAAAAAGCGGTTTTAATTTAGCCCTAGACAGACTCTCATTATCCTCACTTACCTCCAACACAG